GACCCCTTCATCTAGCACTCCTCCAACCGCAAGTATGCCACAAACTTGGGAAAGGAGAGCTCTGTAATGAGGGAGAGGTTGGAGGTGGCGTTACCAAAGTCCTCGTTGATGCCGGCGGTGAGCGTGCTGAGGAGGAGGTCATCATCGACCTTGGCGCCGATGTCACGGAGCTCGTCCGCCAACGTCTTCAGGCGGCGACAGTAGTCATCGATAGACTGATCATTCTGATGACAGTCAAAAAATTCCTGCTGCAAAAAAACGCGGCGCTGAAGCTTGTTATCGGTGAAGAGGTCGTTGAGCTTCACCCACATGGCACGGACGTCATCACCATCACTCACGACCTTGTGAAACAGATCCTTCGAGATGGTGGTGAAGAACCACCGGATGAGCGTGGCATCGATTGCGGTCCAGTCAGAGTCGCCCACCATGGCGCGGGAGTCAACGGAGTCATCAACGTGATCCCTGAGATTGTTCTCGTGGAAGAGCAGCGAGAAGTACGACTTCCACGCGAAGTACGTTGCATCGGTGGCATCGAGGACGACGGGGACGCGGTCGTGGATGTTGATGTCGCGGATGTTAGCGGGGTCCGGCTCGGCAAAGGGGTTGTAGGAGGAGGAGCCGGACGAAGTCATGGCGGCGCAGCGGTGTGGCGTGGCGCGAGCGGGAGGCGCGGCGCGTGATGGCAGCTGCGGCGTGTAGTGATGCAGGCGGCCGCATGGTGTAGCGATGTGGCGCGCGGTCGCGGGCGATGCAGCGATCGGCGCGGGCGGCAGCGGCTTAGAGCGTAGGCGAGCGATGCGCGAGCAGGCGGCTGCGGCGTGTAGCGATGCGATCGTGGCTGCGGTGATGCAGTGGATGAGCGATAGCGGCGGCGTGGGGTGGCAGCACAGCAGGGAGGAGAGCGCGGCGCGGGGAGGAGAGCGCGATGCAGGGGGGGCGGCCCTAGGCGGCGGCGGCTAGGGTTAAGCGGAAGCGGTAGGGGATCGACTTGCAATAGATACTAGGTGAAGAATGATTTGGTGCATCGATAATTGATTGATCGTGCATTAGGCACATATATATAGGTACAAGGGGTGCGATCGATATCGTGTCTCCTAAGATACATGTACATACAGAGGGAGACAGACACTACAGGTACTGCGTAAGAAACCCAGACATATGTACATGTACACATGTTCAACAGAGATGAAGAAGACAACTAGTCGTGAATGATAGAGACAACGTTTTTCTTCATTTCTTGAATATGCACAAGCATGCATATCATATATTGATAGAAGAAGTTGCCAAAATGCCCAATACAACGCGTTTCCGCAAAGTGCTACACTAAAAGGTTAACACCCACATCCATCAAGGCAACACCGACAGCTAAACAATGGCAAAGAGGATGGACACAAAGCACACAAGCCCGTTCCAGCCGAACCGAACACCTCATATCTGGATAAAAACGCCAAAGCAAACTAGATCAATGCACTCTCCACTCATGGTAACTAGGAGATCGGCAAGTGGACAACAGGAGCTAGCCTAGCTCGATGAAGACGTCGCAGATGAGGCGTCGATGCTCGGTTAAAAATAAAGAGGTTCAGGTTTTCTTAATACTGCAAAATTATCACGGTATCTGAAATACCAAAGCTTCTTAAATTGCAGTACTGCTTTCATCCAAACACTTCAAAGTATTCAATGTCATATTTTTTTAGAAACCACGGTATTTCCAGAATACTCCAAAAATACTTTGCAAACAAACGGGCCGTTTAGGCTTCTAGAAAACTTGGTTTTATATATTCACAAGTTAGTTAGATACTTAGATAATCTATAAATAATGTTTTAGGTTGTTCGCTACAAAAAAATTACAAGAAAACTTTCGATCTATTCATCAACTGTCAAGGTATGTAAAGAACACTAGAAATAAAATTTAAATTCAGGTCTGTAGACCACCTAGCGACGACTACAAGCACCGGAGCGAGCCGAGGACGCGCCGCCATCATCGCCCCTTCCTCGTCGAAGTCGGGCAAACATTGTTGTAGTAGACAGTCGAAAATTGAAAAACTATTTCTCTATAACTTACCAATTATCTACACAACCTATAAGACTATCCCTATCAGTACGTGTGCATTTCTCCCGGTCGTCCCATTTCGCTCATGCTAACTCTACCCGCACGATGGGCATCAAGGGGACGCGCGTGTGAGCACGTTGTGAAGATCTCAACTCAGCAACAATAAAGTAGCCATCATGGCATTCCCTAAAAGAAACAATAAAAAATTTTGTAAGTAACCATTAAAAGAACAACTTTTGAGATCTTAGAGCATCTCCAACAAGCGCGCTAAAAGATGCGCCCGCGCGGTAAAATTGCTTTTTAACGCGCGCGGCCCGGCTTCGCGCGCTCCAGCCGTGACGGGAAGCGTTTGGGCGAGCGGGAGAAAGCGGCAGCTGGCGCGGTAGATTTGGCGCCCCGCTTCACGCGCGCCCAAAAAATCCGGCGGTCGTCACGCGCTCAAGCACACTGCCACGCGTCCTCCTCCTCACCACATCGTCGCTCTTTCTCGCCGCTTTCCCCGCCACCACCTCGCCACCATGTCACCGCGCCGCCGGGATTCTTCGGGCTACCGCGGCGTCCGCGAGCGCCCCTCGGGCTGGTACTTCGCCGAGATCCGGTCCGGCGACGTCCAGCTCGGCCTCGGCTCGTTCCGGAGCGCGCACGAGGCGGCCCACGCGTACGACGCGGCGGCGTGGCGCTTGGAGAGGCCCCGGTCGCAGATGAACTTCCGGGACGTCTTCACGCGCGAGCAGGCGTAGCGCCTCGCCCCTCCGCCTCGTCTCATCACTGATCAGGACCGTGCGGACCACGTGCAGCAGCAGCGCCGCCTCCTCATCGCCGAGGAGGACGAGCGAGCCATGGCGGGGTGGCGCCGTCGCCACCCGGAGGACGTCGCCGCCGAGAACGAGTTCTGGGCAGAGAGGACGGCAAGGCGCCGCGCGGAGCGTGCCGACAGACGTCGGCGCAAGGCAATGGCCTTATCGCAGTGCGATATCGTCGAGAACGACGGACAGTCGATCTTTTCCCCCAACGATCTGCGTTGGGATGACATGTGGCTCGATACCTCGGACAACATCACCGAGGATGATGATGGTGATGATGATGACGGCTGGGAGTTGCACCGTAGTTTTTCTATCTAGTTGCACCGTAGTTCTATCTATCTATGCTTTGGAACTATGTAAAATATCTTTGTATCTTTTTTATCTATGCTATGTATCGTTTTTTATCTATGCTAAAACTATATATCGTTTTATCTATGCAAAGTTAATTAAAAAAATATTGTAGCATTAGCGCGTTGCATTTTAACGCGCCTGCTGGAACCACGCGCATTGCATTTTAGCGTGCCGCTGAAGCCAGCGCTGTGCGCCACACCAAACCTGGCGAAGGACGTGTCGTAAACTAGAATTTAGCGCGCCGGCGCGCGTTCGAGATGCTCTTAAATACCGGTGAAACCAAAGAGCTCATGGGTCATCCCGACCCCAAAACCCCAAACCCAAAAACCATATTCCCCTCCGCCGCCTAGCCGCCATGGGCTCCGCCTCCGCCTCCTCGCTCCCGACATCCGCCGGCGCTGGCGAGAACTTGGTCCTCATTCTCGACTTCGGCTCGCAGTACACCCAGCTCATCACCCGCCGCGTCCGGCAGCTGGGAGTCCTCTCACTGTGCGTCTCCGGCACCGCGCCGCTCTCCTCCCTCACCGGGCTACGTCCCCGCGCCGTCATACTCTCCGGCGGACCCCACTCCGTCCACGCCTCGGGCGCGCCCTCCTTCCCTGAGGGATTCCTCGATTTCGCTGCCGAAGCGGGCGCGCATGTTCTGGGCGTGTGCTACGGTATGCAGCTCCTAGTTCAGTCCCTTGGCGGCGCCATCGAGGCTGGCGAGCGGCAGGAGTACGGCGATATGGAGGTAGAGACTACTGCGACGTCCTCCGCGCTGTACGGCGAGAACGGGGTGGGGAACAGACAGTCGGTGTGGATGAGCCACGGCGACGAGGTGGTCAGACTGCCTCAGGGGTTCGAGGTTGTGGCACGAAGTGTGCAGGGCGCAATCGCAGCCATCGAGCATCGGGAGAAGCGTTTTTATGGACTCCAGTACCACCCGGAGGTAGCTACCATTTACTGCTTTATTCTGTCATCTTGGATAGATGGAGATGGATTTAAACTAAGATTATTATGCTAATAAGTTCAATTGCGTTTGCTGATTAGCTTATTTTGCGAGATTGTGAGACACACATTTTGAGTTTGAACTGCAGGGCGACCTGCCCTTTTTCCGTAAGTGATAAGTGAAATATAAGTGGGCTATTTTCTAAGTTAGGCTACAAATTACTTGGGTTTCTTGGGATGGAACAAGCCTTTGGGGTAGCGGGTTGTGTCTTTACGCGAGTGTTTGTTTTTTGGTAAGAAAGATGAGGATATAAGGTCATCTGTATGGATCACACTGATCACAGCTTGCATATTGCTGATTGTTTATTTACTAGTTTGGGTTTGTAGTGCATACCAATCGAAGTACACATGCTTCTTCATAAAATTGTTTATACCTGAGCATGGTTGTCATAAACTTTTCAATCATCTGATTATACAAGGTGACACATTCGACCCAAGGAAAGGAAACACTGCGCCGCTTTCTTTTTGATGTTTGTGGGATTAAAGCTGACTGGAAGATTCAGGATGTGCTGGATGAGGAAATTAAGAACATCAAAAGTATGGTCGGGACTGATGAACATGTGATTTGCGCGTTATCAGGAGGAGTTGATTCGACAGTTGCAGCCACACTCGTTCATAACGCAATAGGTGATAGGCTTCATTGTGTTTTTGTTGACAATGGTCTATTGAGGTAACCGTTCCTTCAACATGTTCTGCTTCGAAATCAGTATGCAGCTAAACTAACATATGATCTTATCTGCAGATACAAGGAGAAGGAACGAGTAATGTCAACCTTCAATAGTGACTTGCACCTTCCTGTCACATGTATTGATGCCTCGGAGCAATTTCTTAGCAAGTTAAAAGGAGTCAAAGACCCAGAGATGAAAAGAAAGATTGTTGGCAAAGAATTCATAGCTGTCTTTGATGAATTTGCTCACATGTTAGAACAGCAGACAGGAAAAAGACCTGAATATTTAGTTCAAGGAACATTATACCCTGATGTGATTGAATCATGCCCACCCCCTGGGAGTGGTATGACACATTCCCACACCATCAAAAGCCATCACAATGTAGGTGGTCTTCCTGAAGATATGAAATTGAAGCTCATTGAACCACTCAAGCTCCTATTTAAGGATGAGGTATTGATCTGCATCTATACATATATGTACTGAAAGATACCTCATACTGATACTTCATATATTTATTGATACTTCACTTTGCATGATCTGACATGCTACTGAAAGATAGCTCATACTGGGAAATTATTTCCGTTTTGATTTCGAAGAAAATATTCCTATCACTTATTGTTTGTCAAATTTATGTCCTGCAAAAGGTGCGGAAGTTGGGCAGTATCTTAAATATCCCAGAGTCATTCTTAAAGCGACATCCATTTCCCGGGCCTGGTCCTGCTGTACGTATCCCATCAGGTGATGTTACAGAAGGCAATGCTTTGGAGGTTCTTCGTCAGGTTTGATCTTTTTCAACCATTGGTTTTTAAATCACCTTTGATATATGGTGTTAATTTTGGACCGCTCTGTTTACGTATTCTAGGCGGATGAGATATATGTTCAAGCCATTAGAGATGCAGGACTCTATGATACAATTTGGCAAGCTTTTGCTGTGCTTTTGCCTGTCAAAACAGTTGGGGTCCAGGGTGACCAGAGAACTTACGGCTATCCGGTTATTTTAAAGGCAATTACCAGTGAGGATGGCATGACTGCAGATTGGTATGCTGCATTGAACCTATCGCTCTATCATATCCCCTTTGCAACTTTATGATGCAATCGTACTCTAATGGTGCACTAGATGGCGATATTTTGTTGCAGTTGTGAGATAATAAGTTGCAGCAAATATTGTTCTGTTTGCTTTTTAGCTCAGTGTTCTAGAACAATACTTGGGCTTCCTGCTTCCCCTTTGGTTGCTCGGTTCCTGCTAGAGTAGTTTGTGAATACTACTAGTTTGACTTAGACAATTCAGCATTCACCTATGTTACATTGCCTGTTGGCCTTCCCTTTTTAGGCAGCCCAAAATCCATAATTTTCCTCAGTTGTAATGTACAGTTACAGTCTGCCAAGCTATGTTATTCTAAGCTATCTAATCAAGTCTCAACTGGTATCCCTAAGTTCGTGGACAGTTTGTTAATTGTTCGATGGCGTGTATTTATTTATGTATTAGTTGCCGTTCTGATGCCCTTTGTCCATGTGATCTTGGTATAGGATTGTTTTTAGCGCCTTATGCACTGTTGTGTATAGAAATGTGTCCTCTCTCTTCCTCTCATTTTGTTAACAAGCGTTGATTACCGATGTTTCTGTTATTTGGTAACTCTCTCATTTTGTTAACAAGTGTTGGTAATTAAGGATGTCTCTATTATGTGGTAGAATCTAGTTCTTTTTGGAGTTTATTGATACTATCTTGAATATTTTGACTGACCTTTTCTTTTATTTCTGTCAGGTATTATTTTGAACGCAAGTTCCTGGCCGATGTGTCGAATAGGATCTGCAACAATGTGCGAGGCGTTAACCGTGTTTGCCTGGAGATAACATCGAAGCCACCAGCGACAGTGGAGTGGGAATAGCCTGATAGTGCACTAAAGGACCCGGAATCGCAAATCATGCTCTGATGTCACATCATTTGAGTGGATGTTCTTATGCTGTGATCATTTAACACATAACGCCAATTACTATATCATTGTCTGGGGTTCCTAGATAGATCACCTTGCCGTGAAAGATGATCAAAGCTTTGAAACTGCACTTATAACTGTCCTTTCTATTCTTAAATTATATTTCCCTGCCTTTCTAGAGCCTGTTGGACGATCGTATCTTGCAATTTTATAGCAATACCACATATGTAATGCGAGCGTAATAGTATATGTTAGCAGTGATGGTTTTAGCAAATGCAAAGTTTCTTGTAAACCATGATGATACCACTTTTGATGGCACTATGTTGGCCTAATGACAACTGTCAGTGCACTCCTAACAGACGCTGGGATGTGCTTAGGGCGCTCCCAATACATCAATTAAAGAAAGAGAATGGAGTTGTATGTTAGTGGAGATATGGCTTTAGCATGTTTCTCTCCACGGTATAATTAATGCTCCAATCTCACTTTTTCCTTATATTTTTCTCTTTCACTTCTCTCTACAACTAGCCTGCATGATGATGCACATGTGATCTCTAAACCAACTGCATGCAACATCACTTAAAAACAACACCTAAACGACAATGCATTGCAGTTATTTTTTTTCCTTTTGTGAAAAGGTCTAAGGACAACTCCAATGTTGTGCATTAAATCGAACACACCAAACAAACACGGATAGGGAGGGGGGCAGCAAACGTCCGACCCATTTGAAACGGATGGATGATATTCATGCTAAGCGGATGATATTTGTTAAATTTATGAAGTTCAACAATGCGGTGACCCATGGTAGAGGTTGATTGGCCTCGGAGTCTTGATGCAGTCTGTGTTCTTCACCTTCAGGATTTCTCATTTGAAAAGGTTAAAACTTCACTCGTGATCTTGTCATCAACATCCTCCCAATAATGTATTAAAAACATCCTCCCAATAATAATACGCTGCCATTTTTCTATCCCCCACGGCACATGATGTGGAAGGCCTTGCTAGCATTCTACAGAGTTTTGGGGTAGTCTCTGGCCTCGTGACAAATGTGACCAAGAGCTCCATCGCCCCCATCCAATGTGCCAACATAAACTTGGAGGAGATTCTGGCATACTTCCCGGCGACTACGACCCCCTTCCCCATTAAGTATCTGGGGTTGCCCCTCTCCCTCGGAGGACTTAGGCGTGTGGACCTTCAACCCTACATTGACAAAGCGGTGGCCCATCTTAGCCCATGGAAAGGAAAGTTCCTGAATCGTGCCGGGTGCACTGCGCTGGTTAAGTCCGTATTCTCCTCCATGCCAATCTTCTTGCTGACAACTTTAAAGGCTGACAAAGGCATCCTCAAGGCCTTTGCGAAGATCAGTCACGGCATGCTCTGGGCCTGCAAGGAGGCGGTTAGTGGAGGGAAATGCAAAATCAACTGGTAAAAGGTCTGCCGCCCCAAGGAGCTCGGTGGTTTGGGGGTTTTGGACTGGAGAGGTTCTCCCGGGCCCTGAGGCTTCGCTGGTTATGGTATGAGTGGAAGGCTCCTGAGAAGCCATGGGTGGGCTCTGAAACCCCCAGCGATGCCTCCGGCCTTGACCTCTTCAATGCGGCTACTCGTGTCACCATCGGAAACGGCGCCAAGGCCTCCTTCTGGTCGTCTTCATGGCTCCATGGCGCCCCGCCAAAAGACCTGGCTCCCCTAATTTTCAAGGCTTCCAAGAGGAAGAATCGGACGGTCCAGGACGCTCTCACTGATAACAACTGGATCTCGGACATTGGGGTGGATGCTTTCACTGCAATCACATGGAACAATACGTCCGCCTCTGGGAGCTCTTGTCGGATATCTAGCTTCATCCTGACACTGAGGACTCCATTACCTGGTCCTTGACCCCTAATGGGCGCTACTCGGCCAGCTCCGCCTACAAGGTCGAGTTCCTTGCCTCTTTGCCCTGCCAGTTCGGGAACATCGTGTGGAAGACCTGGGCCCCTCCAAAGTGTCGTTTCTTCGCTTGGCTCGCTGTCCAGAACCGCTTATGGACCGCTGATTGCTTGGCGAAACGCGGATGGCCGTACCAACCTACTTGCCAGCTCTGCCGTCCCTCCCCTGAGACGGCACGACACATGCTTTTCGAGTGCCGCTTCTCCAGATGTATCTGGACGGCCGCGGCCTCTTGGCTGTCTTGTCCAGACCTCATCAGCAACATCGGGGAGGGTAGGCCTAAAGTCGTGGACTATTGGCTGGCCGTTTCGAAGTCCACCACCTCCTCCCCAATAGGCTTGCGCTCAGCTATCACGCTCATCACTTGGGAGATCTGGAAAGAGAGGAACGAATGAGTTTTCAACAATAAGTCCTCCCTGCCATCGATTGTCATGCATAAGATTAGGGAAGAGGGGAAGGACTGGATCCTCGCCGGTGCTAAAAATCTAGCGGAACTTGTAGGCTGATCCTCTTCCCCCTGTGTCGGGGGCGATGTTCGCCCCCTTTCTTGTTTTTTTTTTTTGGCTCTAGCCATACCCCTGTTTGCTTCTCCTATATCAATATAAGGCAAAAGCTTTTTTGCCTGTTTTAAAAATAAATAAAAATAATACATGTAAAACGAAGCAGACATACCATCCATGAGTGGTTGAGGCTATAGTTCTCTCTGGTAGTGGTGGGTGGATGACTTGTTCTTGATAAGTTCCCCATTTGGTCCCTGTGTGCAATGGCGGAGCTTAGTGCATTGCTGGGGAGCCCCCTCCCCCAAAAGAATGTGGTCAAGCTTTGCCACTGCGTGTGTATTTGTTCGGCGTCTTTGGTTGCGTTTTGAATTCGATGAGAGTGGGCTTTGGTCTTGGTTGTGTCGTCGCTCGTTTTTTTAATAAAAATTTTCCTCGAAAAGGAGGACTGTCCCCGATCTGTGCATCAAAGCTATGCATGCAGCCATTTATTAGTAAATAAACATTCAACAAAGTTTGAAAGCAAAAGGCTCTCACATAGCTAAAAAATAATCATGAGAGGGATAGCCACAACCGGCGGAAGAAAGAGAAATAGGTAACGAAACACCTATCCTATTATATGACCGTCATAGCCCGAACTACCATCTCCCAACGGGTAGACCCAGTAATCAAATGCTCCTTGACATCCTTCTGAGTGAATAGCAACCACATATGGATCAAAGCAGTGGCCCTGAAGATAACCTGCAAAAGAATGGATATGTGTTTTCCTGTTAAAAGCCAAATCGTTCATGCAGTTCCATATAGCCCATAATAAAGCACATACTCCTACACGGATATATTTCCATGTCTCTGTCTCTACTTCATTTAGCCACGTCCCAAATAACGTGTAAATGCTATTTAGAGGAGATATATTAAACGCCATATGTACTGAGGGCCATAAAACTTTGGCCATCGGACAATCCAAACAGAGGTGTTTGATAGATTCATCATGGTCGCAGAAACTACATCTCCGTGATCCTTCCAAATTGCGTTTTGCCAAGTTGTCCTTAGTCAGAATCACTTCCTTGTGGACAAACCACATGAAGACCTTCATTCTTAAGGGCACTTTGACTTTCCAGATATGCAAAGATCTTGGAATGGAACCCGACTTAATAATGTCCAAATACATGGAATTCACTGTGAAAACTCCATTCGTGGTTTAACTAGGCAACGATATTCTTCTTAATTAATGGAAAATACAAAGCTTGCCCCGGTTCAAAAAAATAATACAGAAAGCATCACAATTCCAAACAACAGCGACTCGTGCTCCCTGTATAAGCGGGTCCTAGTCGTCAAGAATCTATGAACATACGTACACATTTCACAGATACAAAGACAACGTATGTGTCCACTCCACGAACAATTAACCATGTACATCAACGTCAGTGCACCAAAGAACGAAAAACTACCAACGTTTCCCTTGATGAGGATCATTTAATTTTCTGACGCCGACTAATCTCTCTGAATCACCTAACGACCAAAATGTACAAGGTTCTCTATAGGAGGCAGCACACTGGCTCTAGGCATTCTGCACCGTCATGATGGCGAGGGCCTCTCTTGCCTGCCCCAGGATGTTGAACACCGTCGCGGCGATGTGCGACGGCGTCAGCCCGGCTTCCACCAGCTGATCGGCCGGTGATCCATGGTCGATGTACTTGTCGGGAAGCACCACCGGCCGCCACTGCACAACCCAAAAGAAAAATTCGCCATTAGTCACATATGTCACCAATGTCATAGAGCAATGTATTTGTGCTGATTTCTGATTTTCTATTCGGTCGGGTGCAGACTGATTGACAATGTTAATTAGTTTGATCAATCGATTCGATTACCTTAAGTTTGCCGTCCAGAAGGCCATCCAGGGCCATGAACTGAGCCACGTGTGAACCGAAGCCGCCGATGGAGCCTTCCTCGACGGTGATGATCACCTCGTGGGACTTGGCGAGGCTCCTGATGAGGGCGTGGTCCAACGGCTTGCAGAACCTGGCGTCGGCGACGGTGACCCTGAGGCCGTGGTGCGCCACGATGGACGAGGCGGCCATGCAGTACTGCACCGCCGACCCGTACCCCAGCAGCGCCACCCTCTCGCCCTCGATCATGATCCTGCCTTTGCCGACCTGCCAAACATTCGTAGATCAGTCAGTCGTCAGTCGCGTTACTCGCGTACACAGCCTCTAATCTCCTCTCGAAGTTATGAACACGAGATCGAAACGCACCTCGATGGCGGTGCCTTTGTAGTTTTCCGGCAACGGGACGCCGATGCCGTTGCCCCTCGGATAGCGGAAGCACGAGGGGCGGTCGTCGATGGCCGCGGCGGTGGCCACCATGTTCAGCAGCTCGGCCTCGTCGGACGGGGCCATGACGACCATGTTGGGTAGGCACGCCATGAACGCCACGTCGAAGGCCCCGCAGTGGGTGGGCCCGTCGGCGCCGACCAGCCCCGCCCTGTCCATGGCGAACCTCACCGGGAGCTTCTGGAGGTCCACGTCGTGCACGACCTGG